AGAGTGGTAGTAGGAGCTGGGGTGTCCTTATCGCTACATTCAATAACCAAATCATACTCCTGGATCAGACTAAAATTCAACTTCGGTACACCCGAGCCAACAACATAATATACTTTGTATTCTGAAAAGATACGATTATTTAGTGGGCTACATTCACGGGTTTCCTTGTAAAAGTGATACTACGTCTTAGAATTAACATAAAATTTTAACTTGGTCAATAAGAGCCAGTAGATATACCTGGTGTCATAAATAACATAACAGGATCCTTATATAATCCGATAAATCTAAAAAACTTAGTAATTATCCATAAATATGCAATTAACTATTGAAAACGCTTAATATTAAGATTAAGCGTTTTTCAATAATTACTTTGTTTTATGAATTTTCCAATTTTCTAGATTTTACAGGGATTCTGTTGTAACTTTATGACACCAGGTAAGTTCACTGATGAATATATACTCATATTGACCATTTTGAGAACTTAAATTTTATGTTCATTCTAAGACGTAGTATCACTTTAAATCCTATAATTGGTGAAACGAGCACTATATTTTGGCTTAGCCTAGGCCTGCTTATTTTCGCCTAATCACTACCTCGTCAGTTGCAGGCAAATTTCTATATTTCATGGACTTTAGATTTGGGCTTTATGGCGGCAAAGCAATAGAAAAATGAAATGAAATGAATGGAGTTTTACGTCCTACTTTTCTGCACCATGTGGGCTAATGAAGACGGGCAACGCCATGCAGGGTGCGATGAGGGAAATTTTGTCAGGACAGCGGCATGAACCTACTCTTTTTCGATTTTCAACTGTCGAGGGATCTTTAACGTGCACAGCCTGTAGCACACGGGGCCTGGGTTTATTGTCCCATCCGAACGACTAGACGCTTTTTCAAAGCAGCAAAATTACTTACTCGTCTCGCCGTCCTTCTTCCAGACGGTAAAGGGTCCATTAGCCGGAGTCGACGATTTGATGTTACAAACTATTGGATCCGGTGGAACGTCGTTGTCCGTGACAGAAATGGTCTCTAGAACGGTTTCAATTCTTGTATCTTCGGCAATACTTACCTCTGAACTGGAGAAGGCTGCTATAACCGGCTGAAATGTAACGGTTCTTCTGGTTTGTCATCATGATTTATCAAAGGTTAACGATTCACCTAGGTACGGAGCCCCTTCGTTTAAACGAAATATATGATATTATACTTCGTTTAAAAAAATTAATTATTTCGTTAAAACGATATATTTGATAAAAGTATGGAAAATTGCGCCTTAGGTTCTCCTAGGTGATTCCTGATAGGCCTACAGTTTGATATTTTCATTAGTAGAGCAATATTTCTCGGATTATATAAGGATTCTGTTATGTTATTTATGACACCAGGTATATCTACTGGCTCTTATTGGCCAAGTTTAAAATTCTTAAATTTTATGTTAATTCTAAGACGTAGTATCACTTTAAATCAGAAAAAAGTAATTTCTTAGAATCTTAGCCTATATATTATATAAATTCTTACCGGAGAAGCACTAGACGATATTTGTATCAGGCAAACAAGGAATAAAGTTTGTTTCAAAATCCTGGATTTTTCCATCGCAAAATATTCCAATATCAAGATTGGCTACATGTAGCATGCAGACTTTTCGTACAAAATTGACAAAAATTTACACCATGGCCGACTCATTCAGAGTTTTAAGTAAATAAAGGGGAGACGAATTTCTTTAGGCCTATAAAAAAAATCAAATTCTCTCGCCGATTTCAATCCATTAGCAGTTTAAATAAATCGTGAACAGTTCAATAGATCGACTGATTGGGAATAATCGAACTCTATTTGCTAAGTTGAGTCTTCAAAATGTGAATCGATTTCCTTTGTTTGGCGTACAGCTATATTATATGGTCGCCATGGATAGCCTTACGGTTAGCCTTACGGTTACTGATGCGGTTTCGGTAACGTTGACATTTTGCTAATTTGATTACATGTAGTTTATGAAAACGGGGCTGTTGATTTTAGAAATTCCCAACCGGGCATTTTAACACGTAAATTGAAAATGACTGGCAAATACAGATAATTCAACAATCCTTCATCAATTATTCATTATTTTTTCATGGTCATGTGCAATTTTGTTTGCTATATCATGGATGCTGAACGTCTCGAATCCCAGCAGTTCGACGAAAAAATCTGTGTCCACAAACAGTGCTTTCTATCCGCTATCCGATTTCAGCATGTTGTACTAAAGCGATTAAGCGAACGTTTCCCACTACTAACAATGTATTGGATGAAACGAACGGGATGCCGTGACGTCATATACTACTCTTCAATCAAGAAGATAAGAAAAGGGCCTCAGGACGAAAAGGTAAAATTTGACACGTTTCTGATAAAATTTGTTAATTTTCGTTAAGATATCCATTTATATCAAGTCTGAAGCAATAGGTGTAAGTATTTAACACGCCGGAACAAAATAATACCCTAAATTTTGATACTTTTGTTCCTCGTATTGACCAAAGCTGATGGAAACAGTGAAAGTCATGTCACCGGTGGAAAAAAACAATGGCTGCCTACTGGCCACTAAAGTCATTGACCTATAACATGATATGCTAATGGCATGGGGTCTTATTCTGTATTCAGGGAGGACTATTCAGTAATAATTAAATGAAATTTAAGTTATTGTTTCTGTAAAGATAAGATATGAACAGCATTCTCCTAGGATTTTTACAGGTCCATCAAATATAAGAATAAGATTCTAGCACATTTTCACATTTTTGCTTTTTTTCCTATTTACCAGGGTTTGAAGTGACAATGAAGAAATTAATAATTGTACTGTTGCTATGTGCAGTTTGTTTGTGTCAAGCTCTCAAACCTCATGATGTTGATTTAGATGACAATGAGTTTGCTGAATTTGAAGATTTTGAAGATGAAGGTGAGGGTAGTGCCGATGGTTTTCCGCGGAAAACAGATGGAAATCACGGAATTCATGATGCGAAACGGAATTGTCCTTTCCATGCATATTTTAATTTGTTGAAAGTAAAATGGACTATTTTTACTACTAGGCCTACACTACATTCATACGATTAAAAAATGTTTGAAACTGCGAGCGACGTGCAAAGTAAAGAAATTTACAACAGAGTTGAACTTGTTTTGATGTACATTGTTTGATAACGTAATTATTTAACTTTCGGTTTCGAGCGTGTTCGATGTGCTGTTATCTTGCTCTTCAGTGCATAGAATCAGGCCAGCAATAACAAGAGCTGTGTGATTTTCCCATTGAACACTAATATGGTTTTTTTTTCTAAATTCCGATAGGCATATTCATGTTTATTCGACAATTCGACAATGTGAATCTGTGTCTGCATTTAAATGTAAAGTGAAAACTTGGTTGTTTAGTTACTATCATTAACTCACCAATTGAGATCACTGGAGTGCGCCTTGAGAAATTCCACGAGGATTTAATTGCTGCGCAATATAAATATCGTCATTATTATATTAGTATTTTTTATTCCCTGTTAATGGGCTGTCAAAGTTTTACAGACTGCTCAGGTAAATCACATAATTATGTGGCTAGTAGAGAATCCTCCTTTGTTGAAGGGGTTAAGATAGTGTGCTAGGCCTATCCTTAACCAATTTCTTCCATTATCTGTTCACAGAAGAACCAGTAAAACGGGAAGCTGGGGTACCACCAAAAACAGAATCAGTTACTAAAGAAGTTCCCCAGGCTAGCGATCAAGACCAAGAGGAGGTTGAAAATGGTGGAGTAACAGAGGAAGAAGAGGATGATGGGATTGTTGAGGTAATGATTTTAGTAGTAAGCTTATTTTAACTTCAGACTGATTTGAAAAATGCTTAGGCTTATCCCTTTTCAGAGAGTCCACATACACAATGAGAGTTGTTACTGGTTTGTTCATAGGAGTAACTAATTCCTCTTCAGATAGTCGTACCTGTGTCTAATTATTTGCTTGCTAACTACTATTCATATTTAGGAATTTTACAGTATAGCTATGAATTTTTGGAAAATCTGCATTACTTTCAGAGAGTTTACATACCTAATAGTGATTATTTGATACTTTTATTTGAGAAATCAGCATCACTTTTAGCGAGTTTACGTACCTAATAATGATTATTTGATACTTTTATTTGAGAAATCAGCATCACTTTCAGCGAGTTTACATACCTAATAATGATTATTTGATGCTTTTGCATCACTTTCAGCGAGTTTACATACCTAATAATGATTATTTGATACTTTTGCATCACTTTCAGAGAGTTTACATACCTAATAATGATTATTTGATACTTTTGCATCACTTTCAGAGAGTTTACATACCTAATAATGATTATTTGATACTTTTGCATCACTTTCAGCGAGTTTACATACCTAATAATGATTATTTGATACTTTTGCATCACTTTCAGCGAGTTTACATACCTAATAATGATTATTTGATACTTTTGCATCACTTTCAGAGAGTTTACATACCTAATAATGATTATTTGATACTTTTGCATCACTTTCAGCGAGTTTACATACCTAATAATGATTATTTGATACTTTTGCATCACTTTCAGAGAGTTTACATACCTATTAATGATTATTTGATACTTTTGCATCACTTTCAGAGAGTTTACATACCTAATAATGATTATTTGATGCTTTTGCATCACTTTCAGCGAGTTTACATACCTAATAATGATTATTTGATGCTTTTGCATCACTTTCAGAGAGTTTACATACCTAATAATGATTATTTGATGCTTTTGCATCATTTTCAGCAAGTTTACATACCTAATAATGATTATTTGATGCTTTTGCATCACTTTCAGAGAGTTTACATACCTAATAATGATTATTTGATACCTTTATCATATATGGTCAATCTGATTCATGGAATATAATTTCTTCTGTTTCTTGATCGACAAGTATTTTTATCCCAGTCTGATGATGATGAATTTGAACATCTCCAAGATGAAGAAGAATTTGAAGGATTTGATAAAGAACGTGGCAGCACCAAGTCCAAAGGATCTGAAAAACTTCCTGATTTAGAAATCGCTAAAGTTCCACTTCATCTCCGAACCAACTGGGATAGTTTTTACGTTGAAATGCTGATGATAGCTGGATTGGGTGTCTATTTCCTCAATTTTCTGGCTGGCAAGACTAAAAACAGCAAACTGGCCCAGGCCTGGTTGAATTCACATAAAGATTTGTTAGACAGTAATTTCGCTGTCGTTGGTAAGCTAATTTATTGAAAAATAATTTTAATTTTCTTAAGATAATAATGTTACATATGATTCTGGTCTAGGTTGAAATAATACCTTTGGATTGGTTAATAGATAGTTCGTGATGATCGTAGAAGGGATTAAAATTGGTCATGAAGAAATAGACTGTGAGTGTTAAAGATCCTATGATAGTAGGAGCCGCGTTGGCTCAGTGAGTTAGACGCTTGCTTGCTAACCTGAAGGTCCAGGGTTCAATCCCGGCATAGGTGGAGATAATACCTTCAGATTTTTCAACCCGGTTTGCCCCCTGTCAGTGATGCAGGTAAGAGGGGTTGACATGGAAAAAGCGTTTAGTCGTTTGGATGGGACCATAAACCAAGGCCCCGTGTGCTACAGGAGGTGCATGTTAAAGATCCGTCGACAGTTGAAAAATTAGCAGGCTAATGCCGCTGTCCTGGCAAAATTTCCCTCATTGCACCCTGCATGGCGTTGCCCGTCTTCATTAGCCCACATGGTGCAGAAAAGTAGGATGTATAACTCCATTCATTTCATTTCATTTCCAATGATAGTTGATTATTAGGATCTTCAGAATCACTCTTGCAAATTTCCCTGATTGGACACTGCATAATGTCACTCATTATCAGTTCGGAATGAGTCTTTCGGACTATTTCGTTTACTCGCCTCTTACTCAAAAATTAGCATAGATTATTTCCCCTGGTTATGACAACAGAAGTGAACAACTAGGCTCGAGGACGGTCGACAGTTATGGTTTGAATATCGTGGATGACCGCTTGAAACCTTGTATATGCCATATTTGGTCATTTTGACTTTTTGGTACTGTTCGAAAGCTCGTAAAAGCGTGGATCTTGTGATCAAAACCTCGTATTCTTAGCTTGATTGTAAATAACTCAAAAAGCACTAATTAAATAACACGTATATAAACAGTCAGATTTAAAACCTTGTAAAATATATTATTATACGAGGTTCAATGTCCCTTTTTCTGCAGATGAAAATGAAAAACCTTGTATACTGTATTATTATACTAGTTTTTGGTTCAATAGGCCGGAGATCTCAAATTGTTATACAAGGTTTATATTTTCAAAGAATGAAAACCATGTATAGCGGTAAAAAAAATAAAATTTTAACAAAATACGTGTACAGTTTTTTTGCGTTTTTCTTGAAAAGTAATTTAGCGTCATATATCGTTATACGAGGTTTCAAGCGGTCACCCACGATATGACTCTTAGACGATATGTAATTGTATCCATCAACATCGCCTGTATTTTGCAACCTCGTTATAAAATAGTTAGAGGAAAGCATATACCACTTTCTTCTGTTCTGCCATCTAGAACATTATCCTTATCCTTCAATTCAGTATTTTTATA